TATATATATATATATATATATATATATATATATATATATATATATATATCACAGTGGTTTTTGCGATTTAAAAAGAATGGAGGGTGGTGGCACAATTCTGGCTTCAGTTTCGGATTCAGCACGCCGACATGCATCGAGAAACAAGTCTTAGATTCTGAGAACAATCCCTAAAATAAACAATGTAATTTCAGTGTTTTTCGCGATTATAAAAACTGGATGGTGGTGATGCAATTTTGGTTTCAGATTCGGATTCAGGGCATCGACATATATAGAGAAACGTGAGTTAAGATTTTGGGTCTGAGAACAACCCTCGAAAACAAAAAATACAATTTCACGATGGGTTTTTGCCAATTAAAAAGAAATTGAAAGATGGTAGCGCAATTCTGAGTTCAGATTCGGATTCAACGCGTCGAAATACATACGAAAACATGTGTCAAAGTCTTTGTCTAACACCAACTCCCGAAAAAAATACAATGACACGATGGTTGTTTTGCGATTAAGAAATGGAGGGTGATGGCGCAATTCAAGCGTCAGACGGATTGAGCGCGTCGAAATACATAGAGAAACGTGGGTCAAGTTTTTGGATCTGACAATTTTTTGATGTGCCTGTGTTATCGGATGGAAGGAGCATTTTTTCATTAGCGAGGATTTTTTTTTCATTTCTGTTTCTGGAAGCGATGAAAAACACGTGTATATTTATTGGAAGTATATTAATAGTGCTCAGGTATTCAGATTAGAAGTCTGCAGGAATATTGCTTGTGCGCTGCAACGTAAGTGCCTAAAGCCCATTTTGTGCGACTACATTCGAACAGAACGTGCTACTTGCCCACCTGGGAGGCGCCGCGGCGTTTCCGTGAACACGCGCAACGTCTGACTACGTTCTCATTTCCCGTCCAAATCCAAGAAGAAGTGTACATGCGTAACCTGTAGTTGAGAAGGTAGCACAAAGCACGCTCGAAATATCACGACGAATGGTTTCTTCATACGAAAATGTGTTAGCCGGATGTTTTCTAGCAAACAACCGATATTTGAATTATGTGAATATACTTCACTACTTATTACTTTATTTCATACATTTTTTCTTTCATTTGCTTAGCATAATCATGTTTTCTAAGAGACAGGAGCATGAATAAAAAATTCCCTGTCTTCTTTTCGGGTTGTTTTATTAAATGTTTGTTAGTTATTGTGTTTAGCAATAATGTGGAATTAATTAACAAGACTCTATGTAGTCTATCTCCTGTAGTAAAACTTTTCATAGACTTTACAGAAGATAAATCACACTTACGGGCGGACAGATCTTTTAACAATATTCGTAACAAGAACGTAGGAAGTTATCGCAATTATTGCACTCTTTAAGATTTCTGAAACAATATTCTTTCGATTCAACATGTGTAATTATACTCTCAAGAAGTTCAAATATAACATATTTCATTTTAATGATTATTGTTTTTAACATTTTTGAGATAACGTTTTGTCAAGTAGCCGTAGTAAATGCGTATTTTTTCAAAGAAAATCTCGAATTCTGAGGGTATGATATAAAAAAAATTCCTAATCCAATTAGTAAATTACTTCCTCTAAACGTTTATTCAGAATCCTCCATTAGTGGGTCATTGATAGGGAAAAGTTAGTTTACGGTAAATCGTCTATTTGACTATTTATCTGCCTCCTTACTATACGTTTTCTCTGTCTCTATTTGTCTCCGTGTGTCCATGGTCAACGCTAGAGCCTAATCCGTTCCACAGATTTTCTCAAAAACTGATATTCCCTGATTCAATCTGGCTGAACGTAAGACCCTGCGAATTTGAAACGAATGTTTTAATTTCGAGGGATATTTGACATCAAACAAACATTTTCAAATTTTCTTAAAAAAATGCTTAAATTTCTTATTGCCAAATGATTTCATTAGTTTTTACTCTCCCGCCCTTACGTCGTAATACGTATTGTAATCCTGCGCCAGAAAACAGTTAATTTTCGACAGAAAAATCGTTATTCCTTGGCCCTGGTAAAGAAAAATTGCATCATTGTTCGTAAATATAGTCAATTACTTCCCCTAACATCATGTATTATCAGAATCCATGTATTGTGAGACCAGTCTATGGCCAAAGCCAGCACGAAACCGTAAAATTGATATTCCTCGATCGATTTAAATGAACCCGATGCCCTTTGAATCTGAAACTGACATTTTGATTTTCTGAGAAAGACTCAATACATTTTCAACACTTTCAAAAATATCACCAAATTTTTTGATCAAACATTGACTTCTAAAAGCGTAAAGAACGCTTATGAAAATGGTGAAGGTTTCGTTTTCTGAGAAATCCCTGATTTTTCGCAAATTGAAAGTTAAATATTGCAGTTGTAGGATTACACTGAAATAAATTTGAAGATACATTTTTTCCTGAACGAAATCTGTTGTTAAAGACATCTTGAAATGAGGTCATGTATAAATTATGGAAAATGTAAGTCAATATCACGCATTATTTGGGGGTAAAATATGGGCAATTTTTAATTTTCTAAACAAGTATTTTCTTCAAATTTTCTCTTAGTATGTATCAAAAGACAAAAAGTGATGCCAGTCTCATGTCCAGCGAACTTTGTGTTTTCAAAAATTGTAGTATTTTAACATTTACAAATTACAACGTTAAAGATGCGTTCAAATCTGTTTTTAAAAAAA